GATCATTACCCACTGACAGGGGGCGCCACCGGGCACTGGACCGGCTCTGGAGGTTTATTGGACCTGGAAAACACACACACACACACACACACACACAGACAGAGTGAACTTAAGCCCCATGTCAGGTTCAGGTCTAACATACTGTAACTCAATAGATGACCTTTATCCTGAAAGCACATGAAGACTTCACAATATAAGCATGCTCTTCACCAATGGGGGAGTATTTAGACTACGGCTGAAACTAACAATGGCTTTCACTATCATCTTGAAAGCTAAAATGTTATTTAGTGTAACATTACCTCCCTGGTGTTCAAATAATTGTTAAGCTGCATGGACCTCCCGTAGTTTCTCTGTGCCGGCCAGAGAAGCTCAAGCACAGGACAAGAAGTTTGACTAGGAACTATTTTTATAAATTCGAATCTTTTATGTTCTTAAAACATTTTGCTGTAATCTCTTTTACTACACCATACTTTGAGTGAATGCTGCCTCTCACACACAACAGTTATGTCTAGAAACTTCTGTACAAAGTCCAGCTGCTTGCTGGGAGGTGAATGTCAGCCAGAGGTGCAGAGATTAAACTTTGCCCCGTCCACAGACCGTCTTGTTTGGGCTTGAAAGTAAAAACGCACGCTTGGCAGCCTCCTATAAACATAAACCACTGATCTGATTTATGTGTCAGCACTCTCTCACTCTGGACTTGTTAAATGGTGGCGGTACAGTGCAAACTGGCCTGAAGCCGTTGTAAGTATTTACATTTTGCCAGACAGACGAGCATCAAGACACTCACCGTCTCCCTGCACTGTGGTAATGAGGTGTCCATCCAGGAAGAGGTCGACATTGGAGAGATAAGAGGAGGGTCCTCTGTCCACCACCACCTCATTCAGTACCTGAAACACACACAGGCAAGACGCATTCACGTTAACTTGTGCGATCTAGACACAACTGCACACAGCTACAACTGGATACTGTTGGAATGTATAGAGGGAAATTAATAACCAGGTTTCTCATGTTCCATGTACATCCCAAATATTATCTAAACCAGGATCCAAGGCAAAACTGGGATACTAATGCGCATGTAAACGCATCCACTAACACCTGTTCTACGCTAGACAAGACAAAAACACCTTGCATCATAGAATTAGTGGCAGTAAAAATACTTCACACATACGTCAAACACTATTAACCTCGTACCTGGAGCAATAATTACTAAATTTTCTCATGTGGTTCTTTAATAACTGGTTCAGGCCCACAGGCATCAGTGGGACAGCTGCGTCATGATGACGCCACATGGGTAACCTGTTTTCACTTATTTACAGTGTGGACTGAGGCCGTAGTGGAACTGCATCTTGCTGTCGATTCATAAAAAACTGTAGCATTGTTTCTTTTTTAAGATCCCCATTGGTGGCTACCATCTTTTTTTCATTTACATTTACAACTCTTTGTGTGCGTTTGCTTAAATCTTTTTTCTCATTGCAAAGGAATACCAAAGTACTGGTTTAAGGTGCAGCCGCTACCTGATACTGCATGGCTTTCCGGCTACTTTCGATGTCCCCATTGGTCAAGATGATACCCTTTTCATCCACTCTGGCCTTCTTCTCCAAGTTCTCTTTAAGCACCCGCACCTTCAAGCGACTTCGCAGGACAATGGCAGCATTACCTATTTAAATATATGAAGGTTCTTTTGTAAATGAAAACTGGAGCACAGCATATGCTTTACAAACAGAACAGGAGTGTTTATGATGTACAGAAACCACGGCTGACAGAGAGAGCTTTCAGTACCTTCAATAATTTGTGTGACCTGAGACTGGTATGTGTCAAACTTGAAAGGGGTCAGGAAGCCTAAGGAGCCCAGGTGGAAGGCCATAACTGGTGGAACGCTCTCCTACAAGTAAACAAAACGAAGAAAATGTTACGGTATTTCAGTAAATTTAAAAACCCCACAAAGGATGCTTTTTTAAAACACCTGGCTGAATACCTGAAAGAGCGAAGATGCATACAGCAGAGTCCCATCTCCACCAAGACAGATAATGAAGTCTACACGATTGGAGATGTCATCAAGATCTGAAAAATATAAAGACAATAAACCTTTTAAATATCTTATATACGATCATACATGATATATATATATGGTGTCCATACAACCATAGAAAAGATGACTTTGGTTTTCATACCTTCTCTGAAAGTGCAGAATTTCTTAGTAACAGCCCCAAAGTTTTCGTCGCCTGAAATGGCTGGGTCCTCAAGAACTTTCTTTTCCACATAAACAATCAAGTTTTTAACCTACAACAACAATAACAACAACACACACAAAATTAGCAACAGCCAATGCAGAATATATAAAAGAAAGCACAACATCTATGCTAACAAGATTTGTTCACAGATGACATAATGCTTATACAAGAGCAGCAAAGGTGTAGCCTGATGATGGCATCAAAGTAATAGTAACAAGATCACAGAAGAATCCATCTTGGCCGGACCAATCAGTGTACTGACAGCTACAGGGGTGGGTGCTAGGTGTGACATAGCGAGAAGACACGTTCGTTAAACAACAATGGCGGCTCCCAGAGATGTTAGCATAGATGCTGCTAGCATCAGTTATCAGTTATATCAGAACTGGAAAGTGTGAGCACTGAAAGCTTTTCCCAATGGAAAAGAAGTTTTCAATCTTCTCCCAACAGGCTTTGTAAATAGTCTGACTACCTTATATGGTTTGTTGGGTTGGTTGAACTTTGACTGTAACAGACAGCAATAGACAGATGGTTCATCCAATCACCCTGCGACTATTAAAAGTGAAGTGAAAGTGTCTGCCCTTTTCCAAACAGATTCCAGTGACAGATTCCCAAATGGTTCTGTGTAACATACCATGTAGCGAGTCAGGTAAGGGTCATGGATTAGGGGTTACCCTAATCAAATCTCAGGAGCAGGAATAGGCAAAGCAGAGTTTTATTATAAGTGAGTGTTCAGGAGTTTATCAAAATGAACAGCTCGTGCTGTTTTCTTTTATTTGACAGCAAGGACTTTGACTAAAAGAGGACAACACACATAGTGGTGCCACACTGATCCCTCACCAGCTTCCCACCAGGAAACACTTTTGGACAGTTATGTTTGTTGTTAAAGGTTAATCCCATCACAGTCTGTGGTCAACACTGAGTGGTGTCAGCGATCACGTGGTCTTACCTCGGTGAGGAACATGCAGAGCTCTTTGAAAGGCTCGAGCAGACTGGCATCTCGTATCTTCTTGATGACAAGGACACTTTTTGGTGGCTTGTTCCACGTCAGTCTCTGGCTGGCGGGGTCCTGAATGTGCCTAAACACACAAAGAGAGTTTTCAGCTCAAGAGGGCAAAAAACAGACTCAACGGTCACTTGATAAGGATTCCCCCTTACATCAGCATAGATCTGAACCAGATGGCTGGCTGATGTAAGATCTGTTAACTATCTGATGCATCCTAGTGTTCATCATAACCAGGACTGCTTAGTAGCTATCCAATTAGAGGCCCTGGCTTAAGGTCTAGCTCTGTTGCAACATATTGCTGACCTCCATGTGTCGTCTGCAGGGCCCTCACCTTAACTCAACCCCTCAGTGATATTATTAGCACAATGTAAAATGTCGAGAAAAAGAAAAGGCAAGATAAAAATGTTTTGAGAGAAAAAAAGAGGGTTTACATAATAATGACTAAGCTAACAGGGAGACATGGATTAACATGAACTCCCCAGGCCTGAACAAATCCAAATCATATGGAAAATGAAGTGGAAATTGCCATGGTGTATTTAACAATACCGACTTCTGTTGAAGGTTCTCTTAATTTGCACTCTGTCTCACATAGGCACTTACTGATGGTACAATAGGCTGAGTCTAGCCCTTATACAATATTTTATTTTTGTGATATGATTACAGCTTTGAAGCAACCATTTTCTAAATATAAGTTGACAATACAAGTTTTGTATTGGCAAAACAGTGATGAATGATTAGCCTAGATTTGGAGAAATAACTTGCACTCACTAATGAGTAAGAATTCCAGGAAAATGACAAGCAATTGCAAATATTTAGAGTTTTGCCCTCATTATATCATATATCCTGATGAAAACAGATTAGTTTCTCCACAGTTTAGTAAAGGATTTATTATATGTAGTGCCTCAGATTTCTTCAAGACTGCCACCAATATCACTGACTTCCATTAACAGTTAGCTGGACAGTCACTGTTTTATACTCTAGTGCAAACATACTTTTGTCTTCGCAATTTACATACAAGTAGTGGATTGCAACCATGTTATAAAACCTCCTAATGTCCTACATCTACACGTCTTTACTCCCTTTACTTAATTTCCTGCAGGCACTGTTAAACCTACACAGGCTGCCCACATACCCAAACACTGAATAGTGTATTTGATAAAAAATTGCTGTGCTTTAAATAGCTTGTAAATTAGCATCATTATCGCACAGTGACATTTACGCCAATCACATGTGGAGAATGGTAGTTTCAAGCCTCGTTACAAGCAGCTGTAGCGAATCGGTGGATGTAACCGAGACTAAATTAGAGAACGACTAGATAATTCCTCCTTCGCAACTGCAAATAGGAACTAACAACTTGACTCATTAGAAACCATAAACATAAAATCCAACTTTAGTTCCACCCCACACATGTTCCCACATGTTGATTTTACTGTAAATACTAGCTTCTAATGGTGCTTTACTGTACAAGTATCTGTTGTAGGCTGACTGTGATATCTCTACTCAGACTAACAGATTGCAGCAGTGTGTCAACATCGGCCGCACATGTGGCCCAATGTCTACTACTGTTTTCAGTCCAAAATAAATATTGAAATTAATCGACACATTTGCAGTGATACAAGTGACTCTGTTCTGTAATGCCACCACACACCCTGCAGGTTCTCTCACCACCTGAGGATCCTGACAGGAGAGCATATTACAATCAGCCTGCAGACTTCTGCTAACCCCTAAATGATACCGCACACAGTTTGTGACCAGTGACTCAAACACACAACCGACATACAAATAACTGACTAACAGCAGCATTATTAAACTATATCCTTGTTCCTGTTCATCGAAACACCAAACAATATAAAGCAATTTAACAAAAACACCTCAAACTAAAGCCTTAAAATTGCCACAGATTATTTAGAAAGGCAATAATCACTAGTGTAAGCCTGCACTGTGCAGTACAGGTTATTATGTAAAAATGTACCACAGGCTGAATGACACAAACATGAACAAGAACAAATAGAAAACTGAAGCTGTGCAGGCCTTGTTTCAAATACACATAATAAAAGGATACAAAGCAAAACTTCATTAGCATTTGAAGCGCAGACGAGCTGTGATCTATTCATGGACAGTTTCTCCTCTGACCACCTGAAAGCATCCACACCCTGACATCGCCTTTCATTCAGCAACCCCACTCTCACAAACCACAGGGCCATACTGTTACAACAGCCAGCCTGTGATAACACGCAAAGACTGACACTTCTACCACTTGATATGATACAACTAGACCTTGATATCACGACTAAACTTTGATATCACATCCAGTCTCCAAACTCCACACAAGTCTAACCTTACAGAAATATACATTTTTCATTAAAAAAACAAAACTCCAAAAGCCAAGAATAATTCTCTACTTTGTCTAAACATAGTCTGAAGCATGACTCTGACATGCCATCAGTTTAATATTACTATTAGCTCACTGTGGTGAAGCATCTGTTGGCAGTAATCCACACGATGCCTGGTGCTGCCAGTGAATATTTCACCCATCAAACATGTTCTCTCTGTGGAGAAAGAGACAGCGACGCTCCGCTCACCATTTCCACACTTTGTTCTCGTTGTGGTTCCCGGGAGTGTCCTGCAGTATGCACTGGTTGAACTTCATGGCTGTACTCATGTAACAAGGATGCTGCTTCAGGTTGACTCGGTTGGAGTACAGAGCTCAGTCCCGGTGGCCTGTGCCGACACAACAACTCATTCTGCCTCTAACAACTTCCTCGATGGCTGCACATTGCAGAGCAGCTGGAGCGGCTGGGTCAGTTCACTTCTTGTGGTCGAGCTGTGAGTCAGCCACCGGTTGTCTGAGAGGCTGAGAGTCTCTCCATGCGCTGTGGTGGGGCTCCAGGATCAGCTAACAACCCCTCAAGCTGGATTCACCGCAGCTATCTTTGTCCCACTGAGGACTTAACAGTAAAACCGTCCTGGTGCATTCTGCTGCGGAACTAAAGCTCTCACTCATCTTAAAAGGTTGACTTCATCTTAGCCCCCGCCCACACTGCTCTGCTGAACCCGCCCATTCAGGGAAGGGCTTTCCTTATTGGACAGGTGTGATTTACTGAAACACAACAATGCCATGACTTTCCACTGTCATTCTTCTTTGTGTAAAGAATGAATAGATGATTGATACACACTGTATCAGAGAGAGTAATACTTCAGGGTTTACAACTCAGCCAATAGAAAAAAGAAAGCTTGATATACCAGAGCAAATTCAAGTTAATCAAAACTTTACCTTTTATGAAAAAATAAACTGATCGTGTATTTTTTGTGTAAAACCAGAAAAGTAGCTTTTTAATTGTATGACCATTTTCAAGAAAAGACAATGTGGCCAGGTGACGTGTAGGAAGGGGAAGTCCGGGGTGAGAATAGATTAACAGGACTATGTGGGTAAATGATGTAATTATGTGTTATGGAAACGCAACAGGATGTACCCGAGCTTCCTACTGCCTCATTACAGTCACCATGATAACTTAAACATAAGTGTTCATTAGCAAATGTTTCTGAGAATGAACTTCTCTCTCCATAACTTATTGATGGTCTTTATCTAAAGAACTATGGACTTGGACAGAGTCAGGTATTGTAAAAGAGGAGCATGCAATTTAACTTTCATCTGTCCTACACTGGACGAAAATATGCAATAAACAGTAAATAAAGGTCCAGGATTTAAACAAAGTTCAAAAGTTACATTTTTATCTCTTTCCAAATATTGTCACAGACTGCCTTGACGGCGGTTATTTACACAGGAAGGCAACATGCTGTACAGAAGCTACTTCAGACTGTTCAGAAATTGAAAAGTATGATGTAATTTCAGCGTTCCGTGTACTTTCAGTGTTTCATATTGCTGTATGCTACCTCGACTTGACAGCAGTGTTTGTTTATGAAGCAGATCAAATAAAAGAGAGAAAATGTGGAGCACAGTTCATCCAAAAGGCGGGTTTCTAAAACAACTCCTTGGGTCACTTGTTGTGTTTCATTTCCGGGTGTGTTTGGGCGGTGTGGGACCACTGTAACGGGTGGAGATTACCTTGAGCAGTATCACGACCACACCCTTCCACAGAGAATGAATGAAGTGGCCAGTTTTTAGTTTGAATGCTCTAAACTTAGGTCACTTAGATCTTTGCTCACCTTTTCTATTGCTTCATATTTCATTTCATTGCTTCATAGTGCATTTACACAGTATCTCTGTGGAACTCTTCCTAAAAATACTACAGCCTAACCTTTATTTATGCTACAAAGATAGCCTGGTTTTGCCACTTTTAACCTGTCTAGCAGCTTTGGGGAAGCTAATCCTTCAATTACTGCTGCCTAAAACAAATAGTGCTGGGAGCCACTTATGTGACTGAGGGAGTCAAGAGGCCAACAATCTGACCAGGCCTTGACGGGAACACATGAAGAGTCTTTCACAACTCTGCTTACTGACTCATTAAGCAGATCTGTGTAGCAGTTTCAGCAGGTGGACACATTGTTCGGTGGTGAGCTTCTGTTGATAATGTGCTGATATGATTCTGTAGAAATCGGTGTTGGCATATTGTATTACATTATATATTAAAATATGTTATATTGATAGGTGCAGGTAATGTAGGTGTAGCATTGCCTCCACAAGCTTACAAGTGTATTAAATGAACCAACATCTCTCTTACACAGTCTGAGCAAAAAAGTGTGTTAGGAGCTTTATGAGGTAGTGTTTAACACACATTGCATTGGATAACTTAGAGCTAAAAGATTAGTTGAATAATCAATAAGTCGATTGACAGAAAAATAATCAGCTTTGTCTTATTCCAGTGTTTGAAATGTGAGCAGTTCAATTTGTCCAACGTGAGAGTACACTAAATATCTGGTAAATTAATCTCGAGGTCTTACATGCTAGCTTTTTAGTGGACCTATTAACACAATATTCATCGTCTTCATCAATGGTTAGAAAGCTCTGGAAAAAGCTATTAAGTGGACCTTGAGTCGTGATTACTTTGCAAAACTATTCTTTTCTCTCTACCCTTAAATTTAGGAGAGTGAAAAGTGGAAGCTCTGTACTCCACCACAACGATGCCACAGCTTTCAGCTGTGATTGAACAGTTGATGAACTGCAGGCCTTTAAATACATAGAAAGTTTAAAAGAAGTCATATTTTATATCTGACTGCAGCTGTACACACAGCCGACACTTAGTATCTTCCCAGATAATGCTCTGTCAGGCCTGTAGCGGGGACATCTTAATTTCTTGCTCGTTTCTAGAGCTGGATGTCTTAAAACATGTACTGGAGCCTATACAATGCCTGCATTTTGGTATCAATACCCGACCTATACTCTATTCCATACCTTACTTTGAGACCCATTTTTTTCTACAAAAGAAGCCAAACATTGCCTGCAAGTTAATTTACAAGAAGCTGTATGTGAATTAATAAATGAAATATAATAGAAATAAATAATAAAACAGTCTAATTAGTGAGGTTTCAGTGAGGCTCTTTGCTTTCAGTCTGGTCTTCAGCAAGTCAATCACATGCTCAGTTAGACTGAGGTCAGGTGACAGACTTGATCAGTCAAGAACACGCCCCTTTTTAACCATACTGGGTTGCCTTGTCTGAATGTTTAGGATTATTGTCCTGCTGCACTCTTAACCTCATAGTCATTATTACATTAAACAGCAGTTAAAATGCAATGTGCGGCAGTGGAGCAAAAATAATGCCAAACACGGCACTCCCTTCATACTTTTTAATTTTACAATTACTTCACCTGGCATCATATCAAAAGTCAGTCAAGTGTGTTTGACAGATGCACAACATGCTATTTAAAATGAAAAACAGCTTAACTGGGCACGCTTAAACACATCTTCAATATTAGTATGGAGCCTTTGGCCGGTGTAGTAGTACAACTCTTGGTTTTAAGATGTCACTTTCGATGAAAAAAAAATAAATGTGTATGTGACATTGCCATACAGTGTGCAATCCTTTCTTTAAAGTCTACAGTTACATAAGAGGATATTAGGAAATTTAGGTGGAAGACCAGACTCATGAGCTTAAAAGCTTCTCATAAACAACCAGTTTAAGAGAAGTACACAGTAGATCAGGAAGAATGGGGTTAGCCACTGTTACGGCCACCGCCGACACATTCACTCTCATCAAAAGCAAGTGAGAATGACGCTTAGCAGCATAAATATAAAGTGCATGTTTGGTGGACATTTCTTTATAACCTGTATATTTTTGGACAGCTGTGCAATTTAATGATTTGACCAACATCTACTAAGACACAAGCTAATGTGGTTTGCTGGTATCTGAGGGGCTATCATAGTTAGTGCTTTTTAAATGAAGTTAAAACAGAATTTTCTTTGTTTTAAAGTCAAAATTATAAATAATAATGAAGTAAAAGTTTAATAAAGAGAAGATAGTTTGCGACAGAGCACTGACAAGGAATGGGTGCAGTGTTTGATACTTTTTATGCATAAAGAATGTTACACTACCTTACATCCCACTGACTTTAAATAGTTTGATTGAGAATTTTATTTTGAACATGCAAAAGCCAACAAAACGCCAAAAATAAGATAAAACAAAAGTGAAACGAAAAGAAACATACAATGAGAGAAAGAAGAAAAGAGAAAAAAAGAAAACGAGAACAGGTCAAAACAATGTACATGAAAAAGATAAGTTGTTAATTTTAAAAAAATTAATTGAATAATAATGTTAAAAAAGGGAGGTAGGAAGAAGTTACATTATAAAATTAATTCAAAATTATAATACTGGGTTATTAAATTATTCACTTCACTCTACTCTCAACTCGATACGTACTTTCGAATTTCACGAATATCTTTTCATACGTTATATACACCGGTCAAACAAGCGGTAACTATAACTCAATCAACGGTATCACCGTATATATTTTGTATATAAATATTTAATATAATATTTTACTTTATATATTATATAATAATGTATAATATAAATAATTAGCATAAATTGATAATAATTAATAATAATTAATAAAAAGTTAAATAAATATTTGAGATAAGTATTTAATTGAAAAAAATTAAATATGTATTTATATTTTATATTAGGAAAATATTGGTTTTGTATGTTTTTTGATTGAAGATATAATAATATGTTAAGGTAGGTGTAAAAATTATTAAAAGTTTAAAAAAAATATTGAATGAAATAAATTTACTGGTTGTAGAAAAAAAGATATTTAATTTGAGATATAAAATTAAGATTGAAAAATTAAAGTTTAAAAAAAAATTTTTTGTATGTTGATGGAAGTAAATTATTTTTTGATTTGATAATTATTTGTGCTGTATTGTATTTAAAAGATTATAAGATTAAGATATTAGATTTTAAAAAAATAATGTGTTGGTGTGTTAGGAAAATAATTTTTAATAATGAATTATAGTTTTTTTGAAAGTAAAATACGATGTAGTTGTTTTGGTACGGATTAATAATGAAAGTAACTGTATAAATGGAAGAAAAAGAGAAAAATAAGAATATATATAGTGACTTTGTGATTTAAAATTATGTATTGTTTTTATAATGAATGCATGATATTGAAGTTGATTGTGTTATTTTTAATGTTGAGGTTTAAAGAAGATTGTTGTGGTCATAAAATAAAAAATAAAATTTTATTTAATAAAATTTTAAATTGTAATATATATAATAAATAAAATGTAGTGTGTTGTTTTGTAATTAAGAAAAAATAATTTTGTTTGTAAATTTAATGATAAATTATTTATATAAACAATTTTTTAATTTTAAATTTTTTAAAAAGATGATGTAAATCATAAACTGAAAAAAAAATATTAGTATGATAGGCAAATAAAAAATTTAAAAATTTGGGATTGAATATATATTAATATAAAGAATGAATAATTTGGTAATAATAATGAAATGAAGTAAAAATAAGACATATAAGCGTTATGTTGAGTTATGATAACAGATAATCATTATAAATTTTCAGTGTTTTTTAGCGTGAGAGTTTT